CATAACTAGAATTGAAAGTTAAATTTGACTTGTCATCAATCTAGTTAAGATATACGAAGTGTTAAAAGTGGAATTCAAACATGTTGAATTATTGATGTAATTCTTAAATTACATATGAATGATAGAATTTGGAGGTTTAAGATGAAATAAATGAGTATAAATTGGTTTAAGGATGTGTACTATAGTTAAGAATGAAAAAGAAGATTAAACATGAAGGATATTCATAGTGCATCGATGCATATTCATAGTGCATCGATGCATCAAGGTTAAAACCCAGAAAGTGTTTGAAGGTGTATCGATGCACAGGTAGTGCATCGATGCACTCTTTTAAAATAAAAAGATCGAATGCAATTAGTGCATCGATGCATAAGGCATGCATCGATGATCCCATTAATAATAAAACATCAAATGCATTTTATGTACCGATGCACAAGTAGTGCATCGATGCATACCTTCATTAAAAGAGGAAATTAGCATTTATATTAATCTAAAGAGTGGACCATTAGAGTATATTAGCTATAATAATGATATAGATCCATGTTTGATTATGTAGATACTAAAAGTAAGCTTATTCCGGAACGATCAAAAGATTAGAATTGAATCAAAGCAAAGCTAAGGTGAGTGCATACTATATGTATAGTATAATGGAATAAAACTTGTGATAAGTCTAATTCCTATATTGATTTTCATAGTACAATAGTTGTGAACATGCATACATGATAATTATTGTAATACATGCATAAGGCATATATATGTTCATGTGATTGGATAAATGATGTATATATATGAATAGATTCAAATACACATGTGAGATGATATGTGATATGAGAACATGACATGAGCTACATGATCACAAGAGAAATGACATGAGCTACATGATCACAAGAGAAATGATATGAACTACATGATCACAAGAGAAATGACATGAGTACATGAACATATAAAATATATAAGAATAATGCCCATAGTATACGATATGATAGCTATATGTGTAATTGGCATGCCAAGAGTCGATGGTATAATAGTCCTTCGGGATGTAGTGGTCCTACGGGACATATATGACAGTCATTCGGGACGAATACTGAACTAAGGTTCGATGCCCCATGAGGGAATTGATACGAGCTGTGGTGACATCATTAGTGCACAACCTCTATGTACTCACATACCTCTATTCTCAATAATATACATGGGCAATTGAAATACAAAGTAAAGTGAAATTGGTATAAGAAGGTAAGTTTTGTACATGCATGATATGATTATATATGTTATTGTGTAATAGATACATGCATATTGAAATGTCATGAAGGAAATGGTAAGAATGCATATTCATGAAGATATTGTTGCATATTCATTTATTGCCTCACTAAGTCTATGACTTAGCGTGTAAGTGATTTATACGTAAGTACCAAGAAATAAGAAGATTCATAATAGCAGTGGCATGGACAACAACATTACTAAGAAATCAGATCAGAAGTAATTGACAAAGTAGGTATTTTGTTGTGTATAAAGTGTTGGTATGTAATAAGTGGTTAATTGCGAATGCTCTGATCGATTTTGTATTAAGTGGTCTCTTTTATGTAAATTAAAGTATTTTGTTTTAATGAAAATTTTAAATTCCCGAGATTTTTCTTTAAGAATCAAAGTTTGAAAAGTCAATGTGACATCTCGGACTTGTATTCGGGTCGAATATGAGTTAAGGGTGTTATAATAACAGATAAGCGACATCTTGATCAATCGTGACGATGTATAATCAACCCTTAGACAAAGATAAAATAAAACAACGATCAAACGATCGAAAAATGTGTTAAAAGGTAGAGGAAAACATGTCATAAAGACAGAGGAAAACGTGTCATACAGGAAGATTTACTGAAAATAAAAACAAGAGAAAATAAAAGGATAATAAAAAATACTAGCGGTTGGTAACCGACATTAAAATTGGTGTCGCCGTCGATCAATAAAGATAAAAAAAATGAAAGACTTACCAATGGGAGAAAACTATAAGAGAAAACTAGAACCTACAATTAACACCTATTATGTTTCAATTAATATATAATTAGTCTTTAGTAAAATATTTGTTTATTTTTATACGAAACATTGTAATGCTCTTCATGAATGTTTAAAAATAAGTACATTTGTTTAAAAATAAGAAAAGATAAAGAAACAAATGAAATGAACATAGACCGATACCCAAAGGCCCAACGGATTATCATATCAGCGGCTACATACGTAAACTGAAAGCCCAAGTTTCTCTCTAGAATTCGAACATCTGATCTCATTCAAGAATTTCGTCGAACATGTGTGTTGTCCTCCTGAACAACAACGTCAACGTGTCCGTCTAAACAAATCGAAAACTCGAACAGTGCCCACGTGTTGATCATCATAATCTCCTATTGCCGACCAAACTCTAAACCCCTGGCATTGCTTCGAACTTTAAACCCTCACAGAAAACAATCCAAATCTCCAGTCGAAAACGACTCTAAGATGCACCGTTTCAGACCATCGCGTCTCTTTCACCGTCGTTGCCTTCACAACCTCCAAAACGCCGGTCCGCTGTGCTCTCAATTAAAATCCCGGTCCGTAATCCGGTTCTCGGGATCAGACACCATCAAATTTCTTCAGGGTCTTTTATCAAACGATGTACGGAGGTTCGGTGAACCTTCACGTGAAGGGAACTCCCCCATTCCTACACCGAACGTGGCCTCTGTCGTAGTTCCTCCTATGTATGCAGCTCTTTTGACTCCTCAAGGGAGGTTTTTGTATGACTTGTTCTTGTATAGGCCGCCCCGGCCTGAGGAGAAGCTGGACAGATCTGGGTCGGGTCCAGGTAGTGGGTCTGGTGAGCCGGTGGAGATTTTGGCGGATGTTGATAGCTCGATCTTGGATGAGTTGTTGGAAACTCTTAAGAAGTGGGTATATTTTGTTTAATTATTTTCTGAAATGATTTTTTGTTTGTTTGTTTGTAATATTGCTTTTGAAAGAATGGTTTTATGTTGTATATATCTTCTGCATTTGGTTTACTTAGAATCTCTCATCCTCAGCTTAAATTTCATGCTCAAAATTTTATTGGATGGACCTTTAATGCGATGTATAAATTTACTTGTGACATTAGAAATTCCGTTTGAGAATATGCTTGAAACACTGGTGGTCAGTTTTATATCAGATATTAGTCTGAAAATGGCTTGTTCAAGGGATATATCTGAATATGCTATTGTTTCTTTTTGACATTTGACTTTAGTAAACTGATGTCTGTTTGTCTTTTATAGTAATGCTAAATTTAGAATTTCTCTGAATGGTTGTCCTGGTATCTGCTGCATTTGCTGTTGCAGATACCGGTTGAGGTCTAAAGTAGATATCGAGAATGTGGCAGACGACTTCCTTTGCTGGCAGAGATACGGTGCTGACCTTCCCGGAAAGACCCCTGCTGTTGAAGAACCAGAGGCAGCTTCAGTTGGTTGGGGCAGTGGTGTTGATAGTTCTAGCAAGTCAGCTTCACATGGTAGTGATGTTGGTTGCCAATGGTTTAAGGATCCCAGATTAGATTGTCTAGGTTTTAGGGGGATATTTTGCTCCGGTACAATACGTGAGTTCACAAATCTTTTGTTGATGCTGAAATTTATTATTGTCTACATATTTAACACAAGTCATGGCTTCGAGATAATAATCGATTTAGGATCTTATTTTTTGATTGTTTCTTAAGAAACCATGCAACTCACCTATTGCTTAAACAAATTCTTATTCTTTTCTTTGTTGCAGCACCTTTTGTTGAGTCTGATAAAGAAACAGATGAAGAAAATTACCTTATGTGGAGATTAGAGAAGGGAGTTGCTGAAGGCTCAACTGAAATTCCTAAAGGTGCTTTTTTTGCTTTGTTGCCAATGGTGTACTTAAGTTTCTTGAATTATGTCAAAGGATGTTTCACTTTTGTTTTCAAAGTTTTAACCGATTGTGTCCGGCGGTCTCAGTTGCGATATTGTTATTATGTTTTTAGGGGAAACAATTCCACTCGAATACAATTTCGCTGGTCTAAACGCAATCAGCTTTGATAAAGGGTGCTATGTAGGGCAAGAACTTATAGCTCGGACACACCACAGGGGGGTTATTCGCAAGCGATTGCTTCCTCTAAAGTTTATCGATAACAATGGAAAAGGTACACTCTGTCCACTGGGCTTTGATAATTTTAATAATCTTTGCATCAACACATCTCGATCCCTTTTATTATGTCAGAGGTTGAGGGGAAAGTTACCCCTGGTTCAGAAGTGATCAGCACAGTCCCTAGTAAGAAGCTAGGGAGTGTGATCACTGCACTCGGCTTTCGTGGGATGGGTGTCTTGCGGCTCGACGATGCCTTCAAAGATACGTTGGCAATACGGGGGCAGGAGGATATAAAGGTTATAGCAATTAGACCAGATTGGTGGCCTGCAGAATGGTTTCAAGATCAACAACATACCGATACTGCCACAGCATAAACTGGTTTATGTGAATTTGATGGTCGTTTGGGCCATTAATCGGCTTCGGCACCTCACACTGTTATAAGCAATGGTACTTATCAGAACTTATTTTACAATAGGTAGCTTGTTTACTATTTTTCCTCTTACTAGAGAAAATGAAGTTAATAAGGAGATGTTCTCCAAGAGACATTTTACCAAACTTAATGTCATACTAGCTTGACTACTGTTGCAACTTTTTCTTTACTATTAAAATATTATTATATTTATTTCATTTTTAATAGTAAAATAATATGTTTTTATACATTTAGGAGCGAAAATGATAATTTCTTATCAAACTGAACTTTGTTTCTTTTATTTTTGAGTTTATTAATGGTAAAAAATGAAATCATGTTCATGTGTGGATTTGCGGATCCATTTCCAATGATCCCACCACATAGACTAATGGACGGGACTAATATCTTTCTTGGTAAGAGCTCCAAAAACGACATCGCTTCGTGTACACCGCACGCCATTTAACCATCATATCCTTGGTCCTATGTCTCATTTCAACTCGAAAACATTTCTCTTCATTTCTTCGATTTTCTGTCTTCCGTCAAATTCTGAGGTTACACAAAATCAAAAATGGGCAAGGATCTGAGAGACGAGCAAGTCTCTTCAATGAAGGAGGCTTTCACTCTCTTTGACACCGACGGCGACGGCAAGATTGCTCCATCGGAGTTAGGGATCCTTATGAGGTCTCTCGGCGGCAACCCAACCCAAGCCCAGCTCAAAGCCATCGTGGCTGAAGAGAAGCTCACGGCACCCTTTGACTTCGCTCGCTTTTTAGATCTCATGTCCAAGCACATGAAACCTGAGCCCTTCGATAAGCAGCTACGCGATGCCTTCAAGGTTCTCGATAAGGACTCCACCGGCTTTGTCGCCGTTGCAGATCTGAAACATATTTTGACTAGTATTGGAGAAAAGCTGGAGCCCTCCGAGTTCGATGAGTGGATCCGTGAAGTCGATGTCGGGTCAGATGGTAAGATCCGTTACGAGGATTTTATTGCCAGGATGGTTGCCAAGTGAGACACACCGTCATTAACTATTTGTTTGTTTTTCGATGGATGATCTTTTTCTCTTTTATTTTGGAGGAAGCTAGGGACTAGGGTTTGATGCGTTTTTCAATTTTCTCTCGCTTCGTTTCTATTGAAGCTTTGTAACACACCTTCTTAGAGAATTTGTTTGGTGTGTGCGTGGTACCTATGTACTGTTATTCTAATATTCTTGTGTTTGGTTTAATTTTTTATTTATAAATTTCTATGTTTTCCATCATCTTTTGATCAACAAATTTATCGTTGGCCCTTTCAATTATTTATGCTGAAGTTGTCTTTTAAATGTCTCTTAACATTCTAAGAGAAGTTTCTGTACGTAGAATAGAATAGTCGTCCCATTCTCATTGTCAGTTGTGTTTTTATAATTTTAGATGTTATTAACCTTGGTTGGTGAAATGAGAGGGGAGTTGTTTATGTTATTAGGATATCATGCAAAACGCCTTCTGAGAGTCTCAGTTATCCAATAGGTAAAGATGCCAAGAATTGGTTGTCAATGAGAGGGAATGGCTGATTCAAGTAAGAATAAAGGATAGTATTATCGATGGCTAAGATGAAACCAAACTGAGATTTTTTAGGCTTGACACTGATAAATTCTCAAATTGAGTACAATTAGTAAAATAAATAACTAGCGGTAGGAAATTTGGATCTCAAGGTGGACATAATCAGTGAAATGAGTAACTAACAATAAGAAATTTAGATTTCAAGATAGATACTTATCCACCTTAAACCAAACGTGCATCCGTCAAGTGATACTGTCTCGTGGTTGCTGCCAATGGTTCAATGATTGAATTCTGGTTGACTGCTATCTTTAGTTTTCTCTCCTTATGGAGAGGAGGATTGATGTTTGCATTGAAACCTTGAATCCAATGAACCTTATTTGCTAGATCACATGGTTATTCTTGATATCTGTATGAAAGACCTTCTTCCCGACGCAATCTTCCACATAACCACATTCCCATTTTTATAAATTTTTTAACATTATAATTAGCGTTGAGTTCCAAAGAACATTGAAAGTGATTTGAAGCAACGCATATAGGTGATCACTTTCGACCATCCTGGCTTGATCGTGGTATGGCTTCTGTGCTCAATGCTAACTAATTACTGATCTTGGTAATAGACTGATTGTACTTTAATTTTTATGTGCTGCGGTCTAAGTTGAGTTTGCTATGAGGTTTTCTTCATTGAAGTCTGAGATTCAACTTTAACTTCTGATAGTTGCAGAAAAGTGTAGTTGAGTGGAGTGCCAAAGGCCACCACCCTCATCAATAAATTTGTTGTAGATGGATAATTCATAACCTTGTTTAAGCAATCATGTTGCCAGGTGAGTCAATTTCCTTTGGTTTCAATTCTTGAAAAGGATGCATTGCCAGCTTATGTTAGTCTTTTGGTTGACAGCTTTAAATAAAGCTATGGCCTGTGGGGCTGTGATTCATGATCCATTATTTTAATGGATTGTCATAGGTGCTTTTAATGTGCAAAAGAAGATGCAGGGCTTTTTGTTAGGTGCTTTTAAACAGCACCCTTTGATTTTTCCGGTAACGAATCTAAAATTGATATTCATAAAGAGTTGGATATGATAATCTTGGTGTTGGGATTGCCACAAGTGGATTCTCCAACTTCAAGACGATCCCAAACTTCTCTGAAAGATCTAATTTGTTATCCTCAGGCACTTTCCAGTCAAAAGAATGCAACAGTGCGGCAACCGAATACAACACCATCCTCTCAGCCATTGCAATTACAGCACAGATTCTTCTACCAGACCCGAAAGGAAAATAACTAAAATCACTTACACTAAAATCCCATTGGCTATTCAAAAACCTGCCTGGGTTGAACTCCAATGGATTTTCCCAGATGGAAGGGTCCCTGTGAATTGCCCAGGCGTTGACAAACACCCTTGAATAGCGTAGCCACTGACAGTGCAGGGTTCACTGGGGCAATGAGGGACTAGGAGAGGTAGAATTGGGTGCAAACGCAACGACTCTTTCATTATTGCGAGTAGACATGGCAATTTGTGAATGTGGGATTCTTCCACTAAGTTATCTTTGCCCACTACTTCATCCCGCTCTTGCTGTGCTTTAATCATCATTTCTGGTTTGTTGATGATTTCAGCCATTGTAAACTCAATTGAGTTGGACGACCATATCCTGTCCAACATTAAATGTATGTTTAAGGATACATTTAAACTTTGTTTCCATGAATTTAATTACTTTTATGGTTTAAGGAGAAATTTTGTTCTCCTCATCACTAAAAATCAACAATTAGAATAGGATCATAGTTTAGGGATCTCCTGTACAATTATCTCTCCTAAAAATAATACGACCACAAAAGCGGAAAAATGAACTCACCACAAGCAAGGCTTTGATATGATTCATAGTCAATGGGGTACTGGAATCCTCCTCATCGTTAAACTGTAATAGGAACTGTACAAAGTCCTTGAATTCCACTGCTGAACTGCTCTCATCCTCCCTCTTCTTCTTCAACCTTTGATCGACTATATTTTCAATGATTGCGTTCAGCTTTTCCATCGACTTTTTCATACGTTTCACTGCACCTTGCAAATCAAACGGAGCCAGCACCGGGAAGAAATTTGAAATATTGGGCAGTGGGCACACCCAAAACATCTGTTATTTCTGAGATGACCTGCCTGAACTCTGCACCAAGGCTCGCCTTCGCCTCCCTCTCGACGGAGCCGCCCCACAACATATTGGTCACCACATTCAATATCGTTAAAAACATCTGCTCTCCCACGTTTACAGGCGAACCGGCTTTACTGTATAAATAACCACGGTTTGTACCACTTCTCTACGGCGAAGCTCATATGCTTTGTCCAAAGTAGCATTGCTAAGCATCTTGATGAAAAATACTTTTCTTAACATCCTCCATTCAGGACCATAGAGGTTCCAAACTATATCACTGCCGCCGGTTACAACCTTGGCGATCATAGGCAGATCGCAGTTGGCGAAGACGATGTCTTGGTCTTTAAGAACTTCACGGACCGCCGATGGGGAGGTCACCAGAATCCCGAGTTTGCTCCCAAGCTGGAGTTTGACACCCGAGCCGTAGGTGCAAGCTAGTTCAGCGAAGTAGGAGTGGAGATCAGAGCGGAGGAAGTGAAGGTTTCCCACTAAGGGGAGGCCTCGAGGGCCTGGTGGCGGTTTACCCTTGTATTTGAGGTACGTCCATGTAAACCAAAAGACGGCGAAAGCACCGACAAGGTGTAAACAGAACCATGGAAGAGGGACAATGAGTTAGCAATGTAAATGGGTGGCATGTTCATGTTATATCAAGGAAAATGTTGAAGGATGATTGAATCAGTTCTACTGTAGACAAAACTGGTGTGTCGGTGCTTGGTGGAATATGAAAAAAAGGGAACTTTAGCTATTAAGAAAATGGTGTTATTAATTAAAATAAATTTAATTTTGTTGTACTTTTTTGGTCCCTGCTATTCAAGAAAATGACACGAATTTGTCATTTTATGCAATGAAATGAACCGTAGAATATGCTGTTAATTAGGTTTTATTTTTTTTATCATTTCATAAATGGTTAGGTTATAGTTTTTTGTACAGTTATACTGTAAGGTTATATGTGGAGCTTGTTTAATTATATAATTGACTAACAATTATTGATAAGATGCTTTGTTTCTATCAATGTCACTTTATGAGCTGATTTTGCTAGCTGCCTAACTTTGCGAGCACAGTGCAAAATTTCGAGCAAAAGGAGCACATTTAATAAGGTCAATTAACACATTTATCAGCTGATGTCGTAGATGCGATTTGCGATTTTGCATTCATTTTGAAAAAAGTTACAATGCGGTTGTTGCCGCTGACTATGCTCTCAACCAAGCAAGGCATCCGGCATCTGTAGTCCCTTTCTGTAGTTCAAAATCATCAAATATTTGCTTCTCATCTACCTTTGTTTCCGGCAGTGGTGGTTCTCGTAGCACCCTGGTTTTAGTTTTCTGTGTTCTTTTCTTCGTCTTCGGCTAGTCGGTTCATAAGGCTGGAGCTAATCTGGATTGAAAAATCACCCATTTTGCAACCGACCCACGATGAAGTACCTAATGAATTCAACAGAGACGCATACCACGGATTAGAAACACAGCACACCAGTTCTCGTCGTGCAAAAAAAAAAAAAGTGTACGAGCTCAGAACATTAAGGGAAACAACAACCAAGGAGTTTTACATAAATTTAAGATTTAATCAGTTTGTATAAAAAATTATTGTGAAAAACTATTGCGTTTAAACAAGATTTAAGTATAGTTAAATTCCTTCTTAACTCTAATATTTATTTATAAATATAAGTAGGGATATAACTTTTATTTTAAGAAAATAAATTTATAAAATTTTAGAGAAGATAAAAATAAATTACAGAAACATATCCAAAATATATAAGAATTAAAAATTTTCAAAAAAACAACATTAAGCATGAATTTCTTATTTACATAAAAAATATGCTCAAACATAGTTGATTAATTTTCATGAGTTTGGAAGGTAAAGAAAATAAAATTTTAAACAAATTGAACCATTCCGTACAATAGATCTCCATTTTAATATATGTTTTCAAGTGATTTGTTTTATAACTATTTCAGATTCGATTATAAAGAATCACAATTTTAATATATATTATAAAAACTCGAACGTGTAACCCGAGTAATGACTGAAAATAGATCATCCATCCTATCACATATTAAAGTTAGGATGGAAAACCCCACAAAGTAACCTTATCGGCGGAGTTTTATTGCCGGAGATATGAAAGAAGCGAGATTGAAATCTGGGTTATTCGTAAACTCTAGTTATAATTCTCAAAAGTTCAATATTTTTTAAAAAAGTATCGATAATATATATATATATATATATATATATATATTAATATATATATATAATTTATTAATACACATATTCTATAAACAAAATTGTTTGAGTTAAAATTTTCTAAAAAAAAGAATAACTTTCTATTTTATCATTAATACCCTTTGATGATTTCTCAAAGACTTGCAGACACTACTCCAACACATTTCTCCAAATGAAAATTCACATGTGAAATATAAAATAAAGACTTAAATTTCAAGCAAGTGACAATAACAGAAATGACAGTTTTAATCCGTCCAGGACATGACTCTTGGTAGTGTAAATAAAATAAAATAAAATAAAATAAATTTTTTATCATATTATTTTTAAAATTAAGCAGATATTAAAAGCGGTTTAAATTTTTATAGTTCAT